AGATCTGATTTAACAAATGATTTAACATCTGATTTGAGACCTAATTTAACATCTGATTTAAAACCTAATTCAAGATCTGATTTAACATCTGATCTGAGATCTGATTTAACAAATGATTTAACATCTGATTTGAGACCTAATTTAACATCTGATTTAAAACCTAATTCAAGATCTGATTTAACATCTGATCTGAGATCTGATTTAACAAATGATTTAACATCTGATTTGAGACCTAATTTTACATCTGATTTAAAACCTAATTCAAGATCTGATTTAACATCTGATCTAAGATTTGATTTAACATCTGCTTTAAGGCCTAAATTAACATCTGATTTAACATCTGATCTAAGATCTGATTTAACATCTGATCTAAGGTCTGATTTAAGATCTGATCTAAGGTCTGTGTAACAAATGGTTTATCATCTGACATAAGATCTAATTTCAGATCTGTTTTAAGACCTAATTTCAGATCTGATCTAAGGTCTGATTTAACACCTGATTTAACATATGATTGAAGACCTAATTTAAAATCTGATCTAAGATTTAATTTAACATCTGATTTGAGACCTAATTTAACATCTGATTTAACATCTGATTTAAGGCCTAAATTAACATCTGATTTAAAACCTAATTCAAGATCTGATTTAAGATCTGATTTAACATCTGATCTAAGATTTGATTTAACATCTGATCTGAGACCTAATTTAACATCTGATTTAACATCTGATTTAAGGCCTAAATTAACATCTGATTTAACATCTGATCTAAGATTTGATTTAATATCTGATCTAAGGTCTGATTTAAGATCTGATCTAAGGTCTGTATAACAAATGATTTATCATCTGACTTAAGATCTAATTTCAGATCTGTTTTAAGATCTAATTTCAGATCTGATTTAACATCTGATCTAAGGTCTGTGTAACAAATGATTTAACATTTGATTTAAGACCTAATTCAAGATCTGATTTAACATCTGATTTAAGACCTAATTTAAGACCTGATTCAACATCTGATTCAACATCTGATTTAAGACCTAATTTAAGACCTGATTTAACATCTGATTCAACATCTGATTTAGGACCTGATTTAAGATCTGATTTAACATCTGATTTAACATCTGGTCTGATGTCACAGTGAGGAGTCATATCCAGTTTCTTACTGAGGAGAATCTTCAGAGTGTTACAACCTGTAGATGTTAAGTTCACACTGTTAGCATGTTAGCTTGCTGTTAGCATTCTATGCTAGCTTTAAATCCAGAGCACAGCTGAGCATGACATTAATTAAAACACTGTTCTCTGCAGTCAGAGTATCATTAAGAAGAGTTTCAGTTCTGACTGGAAACAGACGTCTGTGTTCAGATAATATCATCATGTAGATAAACAAAGTAATAACAAGATAAACTGTGTCTGTTCTGACTGAAGGACAAAGTTCTTTAAATCATATAAACAGTTCTTAATTTTCTTCCTTTAAAGATAAACAAAGTAAAAACAAGATAAACTGCATCTGTCTGACTGATGTTTGAACTTCCTGTGTGTCCCAGGTACGCCCTTCACTTCCTGGTTCAGAGCGGACTCACCTATGGCATCATGATCCTGACCGGAGTCGAACACATGCACAAGTGAGCTTCACAGGTTCCTCCTCATCCTCACTCTTCATCATGTGACATCATGGGATGTCATGTGAGCACTGATGTAACAAACAGACAGTCTGATGATCAGATTGACTGACAGAGTCAGTAACAGTCTAGTGGTGCAGAGGAGCCTCAAATCCTGTTTGTAGTGATGAAGAAGAGTCCTCTGTGACACTGAGCATCAAAGAAACATCTTCATCATCTGATACTTTATGTGATCAGTAGTTTTTGTTGTTTTCTTTTGAACAAGGCACAACAACACAGGGCTGTGAGACAGGACACATGGAATAGAAAGTTACAAAATGTTATGGCTAAGGAGCAGATAGCACTGAAACTAACTAAAGGAAAACACAAACTGACAGAAAATAAAGACCTAAAATGGTACACAAGCCATATAGAAAGTTTCACTGGCAGATACTTAGGTTATTATTTTAACAAAGGTCTAAATTATTCTCTGGGATATGAGCCAGTATGTTAACATAAATTGTCAGGGTTCATGAATAAAAGAGATGTATTTTGCCCACTTATCATGATATTTCTCCACCTGATTGGTGAGCCTAAAGTAAAGGCCCTCGTCTGCTGCCACAGTACCCAGCTGGGAGAAGCACACTCTAGCTGGTGAGAGGGTGATTGCCTTCCAGTTTGTAACTATGAGCTTTCTCCCCAGCATAAGTGCTGTCTGGACTCAGTCTGCCTGAGCTGCAGGGAGAGTTTTAAGAGGAAGAGGGTCACTCAGAACAAACAGGCTTTGGCAGAATGGAATATCAGATTTAAGGATCAATTTGATATTCTCATGTAGGGCTAACCAGAATTTTTGTACAACTGGGCAGGACCACAGCATGTGGAGGAGTGTACCAGTGCTTCCCCCACAATTTGGGCTGTCCCTTAATTTCACTCTGTGTAGCCTTGAGGAGGACCAATATACTCTGTTAATTATTTTAAACTGCACTAGTCTTGTTCTAAGTTTCCTTGATATTTTCTTCTAGAAGATGTTCTTTCTCCTCTGTATATCAAAGATTGAGCTCTGTCTCCCAGGCTGACCTAAAATTGGAGCCCTTGCTATTTGAGCCTGTAAGCAACTGGGAGTAATATTTTTAGGCCTCATGACTTGAACCAAACACCTTAATCATAAAGGAGAGAACATCAGAGCTTGGAAGGGATGTTATAGTAGAGTCAAAGGTTTGGGATAGGAGATGCCTAATCTGAAGATATCTCCAAAACTGCTGTTGAGGGAGGCCGAACTGCTGTACCAGTGCCGTGAATGATTTCAATATGCCACCATCATATAAATCACCCAGTACAAGAATACCCTTTTCAACCCACTGTTGCCAAAGGAATGCAGGGCTCAACAATAAGGAATGCCCGATTGCCCGGGGCAAGTAAAACTCAAGGTCGGGCATGTAAAATAACAACTCGCTTGCCCGATTGGGCAAGTTGCTAAAAATAGTAAAAGTTAATAACTAATTGATAAAATAAATGTATTTTAAAATGTGCTCTTCTGCTCTGATGCAGCGGTCTGTCTGCCTGAAGTCACAGGCACAGCTGTGTAACAATGTCCTGCCCACAGCCCCCATTGATATTATTTTGCGCGACGGACGCTTCATATAATAACATAACAATATACTATTTATGGTGTTATGCCATCGTGTCATTTCTGTCTCTACATGGTCACGCATTAACAATTCTCCTCTGCTCTCTGTATCGTGCTCGGCGGAGTTCCGCCACACACACAGGTGAGCACGCTAGAGCGGCTCGGGCCACATTTTCCTGACCAAACCTGACCCCGAGCCCGGTGCAGTTTGTCAGCTGACAAAGTTATTGAAATGGACAGTGTGTAAATAACCAACAGACTGCTGTTACACACAGACAAACAGCTGCTCGCACAGCAGCGCAGCACGGCACTCATGCTGAGCTTGTGTTGCGTTCAGGCGTTGTCACGTAAATAACAACTTCCAGCACTTAAATAGATCATAGCACAAAACAGCAGCATGTCAAGTGACTTTTTACTTTATTATATTCAATAAAATTGTATGTTCCTAAATCTTGAGACACCTCATATGTAAGCTAGACAGACATTTCACCTGCTCATACTGTGCACACATGTACTGTATGTACTTAGTCCTAAAGAGCCCTTCTGGTGCCAGTAGATACATAGAAACATCCCAGCAGACTGTGCTTTGCAAGCATACAAAAAAGTTTCACGCATGTGAAAATTATTTTTCATGCGTGGGCTTCACCTCTGCTGCTACAGCTCCATCCTAGAGGAAACACTGCTGTGTGCGTTTAGTGCAACAGGTGGATGTGGTAGTCTACTGGTAGAGTAGAGAGAGAGCTAAGTAGCGTTGAAGTAGAGTAGAGCAGGGCAGAGAGATGGAAGCAAAATATATTAAACCCGGTGTTAATACAGCAGAACTGGAGAGAGGGGTGAAAAATAAATAGAGGTGGGCATGGCTCAAGTAGGGCGCAAAATTATAGACGGAGAATGATTAACAAAGATTGCCGCTGCCCTGACACTGTCATATTTGTGTAGGAATTAAGCTACAATACATGACATATGTTGTTTTAATTAATAAATACAGTGTGAATAATGATTACATAACATAAAAATAACGGCAGTCTTTGTTATTTGATAGCCACTTAAATTAAACTATTTTTATAGGGCAAGTAAAAACTGACTTCAGGCAAGTAGATCTCTGACCAATTTGCCCGACCGGGCAAGTGAAAAAAAACCTTAGCGTTGAACCCTGGAATGGTTTATTTTCTATATTTAACTTAGGATTCAGCCAGATACCTGCTGACAGGTTCAAGCAGGGATTAAAGTCGAGCTTAATTGAAATTCTTTTCCAAATCCATTGCATATTTATAAGTATTGGTGGGGTCTGAGCCTCCTTGGACAGTGCTGCTGTAATGAAATGGAGGGGTGGGAGAACATCACAGAGTGGGCACGCTCAGGGGGCAGACACCAGTGGGCAAGGTGTCTGAGGCCAAAGGCATAGTAATATAACAATAAGTTTGGAATCCCCAACCCACCTTGGTCAACTGGCCAACCGAACGGGCCATTTAACCAACAGTTACAGGCTGCCACACTGAAATATCGCCATTCCGACGGTCCGCCATCCCGAATTCTGGTCCCTGAGTCCTGACAGTAAGCTATGGCGAGCCTGTAGAAGCTGTATTCCCCATGCATGTCAGTGATTTTCACCGGGGACGCACGCGAGTAATTCAGGCTGACATTACCTGTTTTTCAGCAAACTCCACTGGTAATTTTATTAAAAGGCATGGCATATAGGTCCACACTAACTTCTTCTTCTTCTTCTTCTTCTTATTATTATTATTATTGGGTCTTATCAGAGTGGGCTACAATGAGTACCGGGCCATCAAATCACAGCATCCGTGGTGAGAGGACACGGAATTGTGTGCGCTTTTACGCATGCGGGTCAAGGCGATCACAGATATTTGATGTGGGAAAGATGTAGCCAGATGTATTACCTGTTTTAGATACGTGGCTGTCTGTCCGTCCGTCCGTCCGTCCGTAGCACGAGTCATGTGCACCACTTCACCACCAACCCATGTGTAAAAGCGCAAACAGTCCCTCAAGGAGGGACAGCCATGAGGCAATGAATGAGGAAATAATCCCCCGGGAGTTTAATCGGACCGGCATTTAATACGCAAAATGGGGTCAAACCCCCAGCGGCTATTAGGTGCCCGACGGCTATTTGCCACCAGGCGACTATTTGGAAATATACGGTAATTAAACTTGGGTACACAGACCATTTTCAAAACATTGGCTTCCCCCCACAATGATAAGAAAAGAGGGGTCCACCTTCCAATATCTGCTGAAAATTGGTCCAACACAGGTTCAATATTGACCTTACTGGATCTGCTAATTTAGTGACACCCAGGTATTTGATGCCATCGCTAGGCCAGGAAAAGTTTTGTAAGGTTAAGGGGAGGGCTTTGGATTTCAGACAGTTAACTTTGTAACCTGAGAGGTGGGAAAATGTATCTAAAATTTTGAATAATGCAGGCAGGGAGAGATTGCGAGTACAAGTCTCTCTCTGCCTGCGTTATTCAAAATTTTAGATACATTTTCTGAGTACATCGCGAGTACAAGCGGCCGAAATGAGTTTCCTCCGCAGGGTGGCTAGGCTCAGCCTTAGAGATAGGGTGAGGAGCTCGGACATCCGGGAGGGACTCGGAGTAGAGCCGCTGCTCCTCCACATCGAGAGGAGCCAGTTGAGGTGGTTCGGGCATCTGGTAAGGATGCCTCCCGGACGCCTCCCTTGGGAGGTATTTCGGGCATGTCCAACCGGGAGGAGACCTCGGGGCCGCCCCAGGACACGCTGGAGGGATTACATCGCCCGGCTGGCCTGGGAACGCCTCGGGGTTCCCTCAGAAGAGCTGACAGAGGTGGCTGGGGAGAGGACTGTCTGGGCTTCTTTGCTGAGGCTGCTGCCCCCGCGACCTGGACCCGGATAAGTGGAGGACGACGAGACGAGACGAGGCAGGCAGGGAGTGCTCAGGCTCAGAGACAAAAATAAGAATATTGTCTGCATATAACATAAGCTTGTGGTTTGAGTGACCAATTCATATCCCAGGAACTGATGGATCCAGGTGGATGGCTAGGGGTTTGAGGACCGGTGCGAAGAGACCCGGGGAAATACCGTCACCCTGCCTGTCCCCCTTCCCAGTTCAAACCAGGGTGAAACCAGCCCATTAGTTAACAGTACAGTAGTGAAGTAATGCTCAAAAAGACAACTAACACTGCGTTGAGTTCTAAACAAAAAGACTATGGTCCGCGACTCATAGAGATAAGCTGCTATAAAAAAATCTAACCAGCGTGGCTAATCTGTACAGTGAGGCACTTATGTTTTTAAATAAGCGTAACAGCTTTTAACTTTGCATACCCACCCAGGGACAGCAGAAGAAAATTAACATAAACATATATGTACTGCAAACCGTCCCCGTTTTAGCTAAACCCATAAATGTATAACCAATAACAGGTGTTAGACGCCGATACTTTGCGGAGACAAAAATATCCATTCAGAACAGGATACAAACACAGCAGAACTGTATGAGTCTGGTCGCATCCCAGTTCAACAACAGGATGTATAGACTGCTATGTGGCAAAACTCCAGGTTCCTGAACAGACTATAATGACCTACATATTATACACTTAAAATAACATAACGAACAGAAATGGTCGTTACCTGGTTTCGTTTAGCATGAATAAAAGTCAGCTATTCTGTTCGTCTTGGAGGGGTGTATATGCACATCAACTGTGTGCAGGCAGTGGGGAGCGTGTTATAAACCCATATTATTATGTCCGCTCAGTGGTAAAGTGTAGGGGGCTATGCCAGTCACAGGGTCCCGATATATTCCAGGGCTTTTTTCGGGTCGTCAAACTCCCACGCCGTCCTCCCTCACCTTTGGAGTTGATAACCAGCACAGCCGGGTAGCACAGTGAAAATCCTATGTGGCGTTCATGAAGCATTTCATTACATTGTTTGACCTTTCGGTGCTTGTTGTTCACAGCCTTGGAGTAGTCTGGGAATATCATAATATGATGTCCTCTCCATGTCAGCTTCCCTTTGTTTCCTTTTGTTTTGCTTGCATAATCCGATCCTTGTCTTGATAGCGCAGGAACCTGGCCACTATAGCCCTGGGTGGCTGGCCGTCAGGTCTGCGCAGAGCCAGTGCTCGGTGGGCTCTGCCTATTTCCAAACCCTTGGGAAAGTCGAGTTCCAGGAGATTTGGGATCGCTGCAGTTAGAAATGAAAGAGCACCTCACAGGATTCAGGGAAACCCACAAAAACCAGGTTGTTGCGGTGACTTCTGGAGTCAAGGTCATCCACCCACTGGCAAAGTAGCTCTAGCTCAGCCCGGGATGCAGCTGGGTCAGCTTTCAGCGCTTTATCACTATCCTTCAGAAAGTCTAAATTACTTTCTACGTTGGAAAGGCGAGTAGTAAAGGCAGTTAATTGTGACTCCATGGATGTGGTGGCTCTGTGGATTCCATGCAGTTTATTGCTGTGCCCACTTGAGATTTCTGAGAGAAGGCTGTATATGTTAGCGATGTCAGCAGCGACCTTGCGTGGTTCATTGTCTGAGAGAGTTTCATTAGCCGTGGCTGCTGTTAGCTTGGCACAGCTAACACTGCAGTGGACGGTGTCATTAGCCGTATCTACAGCTGTTAGCCATGCTGTTAGCTTGGCGCTGCTAGCACTAGGAGTCATCTGTTTGGCTGCTTTACTAGCACGGTCTGAGATAGAATCGTATGGGCCATACGAGGAGGAATTCTTCGCAGCTGAGCCTTTGCTTGCGGTGTTCTTGCTTCCTGGCATTTTGACTGAATTATATTGGCTCAGGATATATCAACGTTGTGTCGCTCCAGTATGGGTTTTTTGTACAAGTTTAAATGCCGCGATGTCAGGGGCGAATTTTCAGGCAGCCATTCTCCAACTCTGGGTTACGTGACTCCCGGCCACGGCTGCATTTTAATTCATTTGAACATATTTTTTCTCATCATCTGATATATATTGATTTATCTGATCTGATTTATAACTTTATCAATGTTGACATTATGTCTAGAGACCAGACCTGTGTGTGCCTCAGGCCGTACACATGTTAAACATGGAGACATGCCTTCTGGTGGATATCAGAGAAACTACACATGTTTTGTGTGTGTGTGTGTGTGTGTGTGTGTGTGTGTTGTTTTCAGATACTGCCTGGTGGTGGCTCTCAGCTATCTGAGTCTGTGTCAGATCACCAGAGTCTATGTCTTCGACTACGGCATGTACTCCGCTGATTTCACAGGGTGAGATGACATCTCCTCGTCCAGACTGCATCTTCCTTTGCTCTGTCTGACCCATGTTGTTTCTGACCTTTGACCCTGTCATTGTCTCTGCAGGCCGATGATGGTGATCACACAGAAGATCACCAGCCTGGCGTTTGAGATCCACGATGGTGAGATGATCACGTGGCGATGTGCAGAGCAGACCTGTCTGAAGATTCATATCTGATCATGTTCATGTGTATTTTTTTCTGTGGAACAGGAATGGCTCGAAAAGAAGAACATCTGACGGCAGGACAAAAGATTTTAGCCATCAGGTTGGTTTGTAGAGAAACACTGTATTACACTGTTATTTTACATTTTATAATTCTGCTCATCGGTTTCCTGCAGAGTAACGACTGCTGACAGATGTAGAGGTAGGACTGAAGTATAATGCAGCTACAGAAAGAAACACTCCAGTAAAGTCGGAGGACAAACTGATTCAGCTCTGATGAAACATGATACCAGGAGGTCATGACGTACAGCGTCAGTGTGTATCACAGCTCCCAGTGTAGACATCAATTAGGTGAGCAGAGTCTTACTGGTTATGTGTGTGCGTGTGTTCAGGAGGATGCCCAGTCTGCTGGAGTACTTCAGTTACAACTGTAACTTCATGGGGATCCTGGCTGGACCCACCTGCTCCTACAACGACTACATCGCCTTCATCGAGGGAGAACCCCGTCACCATAGAGACCAGGAGGCCAACAGGAAGTCCACCAGCAAGCTGAGGCAGAGCGAGCCATCGCCAAACGTACGACACTGGACCACAAACACCATCAGAACCAAAACCCAAGTTTGATTCCTATAAACACTTAGACTCATTTTATATTATTGTTATTTAATAATATCAACATTCTGTGATATCAGGTCATCCTGAGTAGGAATATAAACATCCAGACTCATGTCACTGAGTTCATCTTTATATGATTAACTGTGTTACAACTAGTGCTGCACGATTTTATAAAAATGTACGATTGCGATTTGAATGGACAATATAGCGATTTGCGATTGCGATTACAATATAATACATAAATGGTATCATTATTCTTCTTGCTTGATGCAGTGTTTCCCTACATTATATTAGGGGGCACTGACCTGACATAGTTATTTTATGGACAGTGTGTTAAAAACCATCAACAGACTGAGCACTGTCAAACACGCTGCTCACACAGCAGCGCAGCATGACACTGTACACACAGCACAACACAGCAGCGTATCAACTGGGCTGAAACCGAGCAAAGTTGCTCAATTTTTCATTTGTTATTATATAGTCTGTTATGGAGTCTGTGATTTCCCCGTGACACTTACAAATGTTTGCATAACTATGCTTGGATGTTGTTTTATGAGGCTCTGGTGTCTTTCAGTTGTCTCTTTGTCTTTAACGTTACACGGCTTGTCTTTCTCTCACATGCAATCTTCCTACGTTTCTCTGTGCTGTCTCAAGTGCTGATATAGATCGGTCGTGTAGCCGCGGGACATGGCGACTTTAACTTTTACACTTTCACAGCACGTCTTTCTGGTCAACGTCGCCGTAGCTGAATCCAAAGTATCGCCATGTAACAGACGTTTTTTTCGGCACCAAATCAGCCTGTTCATGGTCGAGCTCATGCTCTTCTTCAGCGTCTGTGTTGGTCACTGCTGCAAGCCGGCTGCACGCACCAGGATAGCTTGTGGGCGTGATGTCAACAAACTCCACACACTACAGGAGAGGCAGTAACGTTCACAAGCACACGTTAACATTTATTTACATTAAATCTCAAATCGCAGCCTTTTATGCGGTTATGTAATCGCACAGCCTGCGATTAGATTAATCGTGCAGCACTAGTTACAACATTCTGTCACATAAAACTCACACTGAGGAATAAATGACTGAAACTAAGATTCAACTCTGACATCTAAATATTTAACACTGTCTCCAGCAGCTGTCTTGTCCCTTCAGTTCACACAGATATCTGACAGTCGATAATTCTCATAGTGATGATCAGGACGTATTTTGTGTCTGTGTCTGTTTATATAAACAACTTGACTGAAGCTGAAGACCAGATCAGACCTGCAGGAACAACAACACATCATCTGCATAATGTTTGATTCTACAGTCTGATTAATGTCTTTACATACGTGATGTTGACATGCCTGTCTGTGAGACATCATGATGAAGTCAGAATCACTGTCCACGTGTGTCTCCTTAGACCGAGGTCGTCCGTAAGGTGTCTACCTCCTTCTTCTGCCTTCTGGTCTTCCTGTCAGTGTGTAAAGTTTTTCCTGTAGAGCGAAACATCGATGACGACTTCATCGCCAACACGCCGTTCTACGCTCAGGTGATCTACTTGTATCTGTCCATGCTGACCACCAGACCCAAGTACTACTTCGTCTGGACGCTGGGTGAGTGTCTGACAACACCTTTCTCACCTGTCTCACCTGTCTCACCTGTCCAACGCCGTCTCATCTCTTTCTGACCTCAGCTGACGCCATCAACAACGCTGCCGGTTTCGGCTTCAACGGCTACGACAGTGACGGCTCTCCTCGCTGGGACCTGATCTCCAACCTGAGGATCCTGAACATCGAGGTGAGGACCATCAGCGCTCCGCCGTCAGCGCTCCACTGTCGACGCTCCACCGTCGGCGCTCCACCGTTTGTGCTCTACTGTTCTTCTGTAAAGACTGATTGATGAATCAGATTGTCTCCTCTCTGTTTCAGCTCGCCACAAGCTTTAAGGTTTTCCTGGACAACTGGAACATCCAGACAGCACACTGGCTCAAAAGGTCTGAACAAATCATTGATACTGATGTTTATTCACAGTGACCCACAGAGTGTCAGCACATCGGTCAGACTGTCAGCAGTCATCAACAGGAAACGCTTCAGTTTCCACTGAATTTGTATAGCACTTTTCATACATTAAAAATGCAGCACAAAGTATGCACAAAACTATTACATACATATTGAAAACCCGCCCCTCCCACCCCCACATAAAAACACACACACACACACACACACACACACGGTCAATATAGTCAATAACATGGCTGGGCACTGAGGAACCAGGTGAGGAAAGAACCACCTATGGGGAGCTCATCCACACTGAGAGGTGTCACAGCTGACGGCCATAGGAAGCGCCACCACGACCCAGACAGACCGGGGTGGACTCCACAAATGGTGCAGAGCCCCCCAGTCCTCCGGACCTGAGGGATCTCCAGGACGACGTCCCCACAGGCAGACCGGGCAGACCTCTCAGTGTGGAGGCCCCCATGAGGAAACACTGGAGCTAAAAACTAAAAGACTAAAAGGCAATATGATAAGATAAAACAAATATGAGATAAAATAATAATAAATAAATAAATTTATTATTATTTTATCTCATATTAAAAAAATAAATAAATAAATAAATGAAGATTTAGAAACTTAATAATAATAAAATGCGTAAAGATTTAAAAATAAATCATTTAAAACCATTAGAAATTAAAATAACATATAATATAAGAATTAAAAGACTAAAAGAAATCCGTTAAAAGCCAAACTAAAAAGGTGAGTCTTGAGCCTACTTTTAAAAACATCAACAGTCTCTGCAGTTCTGATGCTCTCCGGCAGGCTGTTCCACAAGTGAGGGCCATAATGGCTGAATGCAGCCTCCCCGTGGGTTTTTGTACTAACTATTGGAACAATTAAAAGGCCAATGCCGGAGGACCTCAGGGTCCACGAGGGTTAATATGATAAAAGCAGGTCAGATAAATAAGATGGCCCAAGACCGTTAAGACATTTAAAAACTAATAAAAGAACCTTAAAATCGATCCTCAAACACACGGGGAGCCAATGCAGCGATTTTAAAACTGGTGTAATGAAGGTCTTTGTTGTGTTTTTATGTCTCTGAGCCACTGATAGCCGCGACCACACGTGTTATGTTTTCAGTTTGTCCGTACGTCTCATTCCCGTGAACCTGATATCTGAAGAACACCTTAAGGGAATTTCCTCAAATTTGGCACAAACGTCCACCTGGACTCAACAATGAACTGATTAGATGTTTGTGGTCAAAGGTCACTGTGACCTTACAAAACATGTTTTTGCCCATAACTGAGTTCATACACTAATTCTGACAAAACGTGACACAAATGTCTGACAGGATGAAATAATGAATGTCAAAAGGTTAAAGGTCAGCTTGACTGTGACATCAAACTAGACTGGTGGGCGGAGTCATACAACCACGGGGTGGACTGGAGGGAGGAGTCATACAACCACAGGGTGGAGTGGAGGGAGGAGTCATACAACCACAGGGTGGACTGGTGGGAGGAGTCATACAACCACAGGGTGGACTGGAGGGCGGAGTCATACAACCACAGGGTGGACTGGAGGGAGGAGTCATACAACCACAGGGTGGACTGGAGGGAGGAGTCATCCAACCACGGGGTGGACTGGAGGTAGGAGTCATACAACCACAGGGTGGACTGGAGGGAGGAGTCATACAACCACGGGGTGGACTGGAGGGAGGAGTCATACAACCACAGGGTGGACTGGTGGGTGGAGTCATACAACCACAGGGTGGACTGGTGGGCGGGGTCATACAACCACAGGGTGGACTGG